GAATGATAGAACAATCTTATTGGTGCAGAGGTGCTTCTTTTTTGGTAGAACCGTTAGATTACGTAAAATAATTTGTGAAAATGATCTATTTATTTGTATTAATATATAACAATTTTAAATAAATTAATATATATTTAATAATACTATATAATTAAATAAAAAAATGAATGATTAAATAAATACTATCGAATAAATATTTTTTTTTCAATATGAAATATTTATAAATTTTTAATTCTACATTTAATGCTACTAGAAAATAGCAAATAAAATTCTATTGAATCAAGAATAATATTTCATCATTGTTTTATTTCTATTTATTATTTATATTGTTTTGAACTATTATTTATTTTGTTTTTTTTTATAAATTTTTCATTAACATTACCAGTAAGAATTAAGAAACAATTTTTCTTAGACGAATATGCTTTTTTTTGACTATTAAATATTTTGTGAAAATAAATAAATTGTAATAAATGTATAATAATTAGTAATAAATGAATTAAATAAGATATAATGAAATCAAATAATGGCTTTATGTGAACAGTATTATATTAATTTGTATTGGAATTGACAAATTAATAATAAAAATATGTAAATTAATTTTTAGTTTTTTTTGGAAACTTATTGGAATAATATATAGAGCAGATTTTTTATTGTATCGTATCTTTTCTTATTGTTTTTCTTTGTTTCTTGTTCTTAATCATAATAATTGTAAATAGTGAATATGTCATTTTATAATTTTTTCGATAGCATTTCTGAATCAAAATCATCTAACTATCCAATTGGAGCCAAGGTTCTTTCTTTTTGGTACGAATGTCAAATTATATAATCGTAATTTGTGAAATCATTTATTATTTTTCAAAATAATTATATATAAATAAATAAATATATAAATTAATATATATATATCTATATAAAATTATTTTTATTAATATGAAATGATCGAATAATATTATATATATCAAAAATATTTCTAAATGTTAATGTATCATAAGGGCTCTTCTGATTGGTGCGGAGGTGCACCCGTGAAAGTTATAAAAGGATGCACTGATCATTTGCAGTCATTTTGCGTAAGGATTCGGAGGAGTTAACATCGTGCTTAATTAAAAAGGAAACGTATTTCTTGTAAGTTTCGAAAATAAATATTCACTTTTTTATTCATTTTCTAATTATTTATTTATTTTCATATTTATATTTTATAATTTTTTATTTTTTATTTATGTAATTTTTTTTTGTTTCCAGTTTTTGTAATCTGATTAACTATTTTTAATATTAATATTATTAAAAAAATTAAAATTTTTAATTTTAATATTTCTTATTTATTATTAATTTTATTAAAATTAATTTCATAAGAATATTTAATTTAATTTCCGCGCGAAAATTAAATACGAATCGTTTTGTTACAGCCAATCAGAGAGCAGCTACGGCCCAACGATCGACGAATCAGTACGTTCGGCGTCAGTCTGCTGTTGGACGTCGTGGGGATAGGACGAATGGAGCTGCAATGGGTGAGTGACTACATATAATTTCTAATTATTATATTATAATTTATAAATTTTTATTATTTTCTTTTAATTTATATATTTGTTTAAACGTATATTGAGTATTATTAAAAAATACTCAATATACGTTTAAATAAATAGTTTTTTGTATTCGGTTTTATTGTGACGTATATAGTTTGTGTATTGACAATTATATTACTTTATATTATAAAACTTTGAATCAAAATTTTAATCTAAATATTGTGTTTTATCAATATAATTTTTAATTTTGTATGTTTAATTTACGATTTTGATTTTTATTCGTGCAGATTTTCGTTTGATCGTTGTAAAATAATATTGAATGAGTAATTGTTTATACACATTTAATCCGATAATTTTTTTCTTTTTCTTTTTTGGTTTTTTTAAATCTTTTTATTCGTTATATAAAAGTAGGAAATAAAAGTAATTAGATTATTATATTAATTTTATTTTACATATACGTAATTTCGAATATTTCTTTCTATCGTTTTCGTGTATTTATTATGTGTCCTCAACTCGCGTATTATTTCTTTATTTTGATTTTACGCTTAAGGCGTATTACGATTTCCTATAATCCCTTTCCAGGAAATTGTCGGTTTACATTCGTGTTCGATATGTCGTACGACTTTCCACGAACAAATTCCCACTCCAATTTATAATTTCGTAAACAAAATCGTGTCGCGTAGTATCATTCTATTATCGAAAGTTGAACTAGTAGGACGTTTTGCTACGGTTGGTGCGTGACTATTGTGTAAAATATTCTTTCTATAGTAATTTTTTTACTTTCCCGTATTTAACTAATATTAATATTTAATCGTTAATTTATTAAATATTATATTTTTTTTTATTAATTTATTGCATCGTTAGAATTATAAATAGTATGAGTTTCAAAAAAAAGATTTGAATTTGATCGTTGTTTTTTATTATTTTATTTTTAATACGATACGTCCTAATTATATATATTTTTTTATATTTACTTTAACGATTTGATTATTTTTTCGTGCAGATTGGAAATTGATTGCTGAGATAACTTACAAGATATAATTTCAATATCGATGACCACAAATTGACGATTTTATGGCAAAGGGGTAACATTTAATCTTTTGTATTAAAAATAAATATTTTTACTTACTTTTTATTTTAATATTATTAACATGTTAAATAATTCATAATAGTTAATGCTTCAAAAAACAAAAATGAAATAGATTAAACAAATCATATATTTATTTCGGATATATTAAATTATTTCTTTAAATTCAAATTGATTAAATTTATTTTTCGCTTTCATTAATTATGTAGTTTCAAGTGATAACAATTTTTATGAACAAATGCTCGATATCCCTTTCCT